CAGACTGCCGCTGCAGCGAGGTTTGCTGCTCAGGTGCAGCATTATGGGATGCCAACACAAACTTAAAGGAAAATAAAAGTTTGATTCATGACGCGTCTGTATCGAATAGTAATAGTGTTTACTGATTATTACATTTCACGTCAGCAGCCCCAATTTAAAGATGCTTTGATCACTGATGGAAATGGTGTCAGAGGTCACTGACCTGATCCGTCACATCGTAGACCACTATGATGCCATGAGCTCCTCTGTAGTAACTGGACGTGATGGTTCTGAACCTTTCCTGCCCGGCTGTGTCCCACTGCAGAGGGTCAGATTAAAGGTCATCTTAAACCACACAAACATCACAAATTCTCTGTGGAACATTGGCTCCTTACAATCTGAAGCTTGATGGTCTTCCCGTCCAGCTCGATGGTCCTGATCTTAAAGTCCACCCCGATGGTGCTGATGTAGCTTTCTGTGTACGTGTCATCCTGCAGTCAATCACACAGACAGGTGAGTGAGATACCTGCAGCTCATCAGCCACAGTCTGATTGACACACAAAACACACACAGAGACTTACTGCAAACCGAAGCAGGAGACAAGACTTTCCGACACCAGAGTCACCGATCAGCAGCAGCTTGAATAAGTAGTCGCTGCGAGGGCAGGCACACACACACACACACACACACACACACACGTTATCAGTCCAGTTCACAGCTCTGACATGTTCACATTAGGGCTGAAATAATTAATTGGATTAATCTTCATTAATCGATTATTGAAATAATGGTCAACTAATTTAGTAATCAAATAATCATTAAGTGGAGAATACTGACTCTAAATCAGACTATTTGCTGAGAACAACCCACTCTGAGCAGTAATTAGGCCAAAGCTGTACAAACATTATATACTTTTAGCATTTAAGATGAAAAACCTTCCTTGTCTGTAAATATCTTCTATCCAGAATGTCTTTAGTGGCGTAGCTTTAGCTTCACCTGGTTCATATTCTGTAAATAATCTCCTATTAGGCACTTTTTGCTATCCGCTTATTAATCGATTATCAGAATAATCATTAGTTGCAGCCCTGGTTCACATGATTCAGTCTAAAGTGAGAAACTACCCTGACCTCTTCATATGCTCTGATATATTACAACAGAAACATGACTTCTTTACATCCAGCAGTCGGTTGAAGCTGACAGATTCAGCTCTATTCAGACCAAATTGGGTCAGAACCACGAAGCTCTGGTGCATAACAGAACTGACTTCAGAGCATATTCAGCTGAGCTTTCTGTCTCGTCAGACTAAAAGTGAAGAGGACAACTGTTTGCTTTGGTCCACCAGGATCATTACCCAGAGGTCAGCTGGTCTCAGCAGCAGCCTGATTCTCCATGTTGGAGCCAAGAGCTTCAGTTTTCCAAGGAAAACATCTTTTCTTTGCAGAAAAATATTCACTTCAGCCCGAAGACACAGCAGTTTCTACCATGGCCCGTTCACATGCATTAAAGAAACAAAAAAATACATTTTCTGTTTTAAACATCTGCTATGTTTAGGTTTCCAGGTTTACCAGGTGTACCTGAACACACCGAGGTCTACTTTCTACAGCTGGAGCTTTTCAAAGGGATGCAGATTTACAAATGAGGGTTGGGCGATTTGACGATATTAGAATGAGTCGACAATCTGTTAAAACACATAGATTAATAATTCATGTTCAGCTTTAATATTTAGTTAATATTACCATTTTAGAATGACTTTGCAATAAAAAGTTTTCTGATTGTCCATCAAACACAGCGTCTCAGATGCTTCGCTCCAGACGAAGGTAGAGATAGTAACTTGATCCAGCAGTCAGCGCCAAGCGCTAACTGTAGCTAAATTCTAGATGTTAGAAGTGTGCAGGAAAGGCCTGCATGAGTAGCGCCTAGCAGCTAACACAAAGCAGGTTAGCTTTAGCAGGATATGTGAAGTCTGCAGAATGGTCTGGTTTATCTTGTTTAACTGGTTACCAGTTTGGATTATCAGCACTGTAGCTAACATTCTGCTAAACCTCTACACAGTAAAGGTAACGACTCAGTTTTTCAGCATCAACACAGATGATAAACTGACACAAAGCTTCCTTAGACCTTCAGAATAAGAGCCTCTCTGGACTTTAATTGCACTTTGTCTAAATCTAAATACAACTTCTCTCATAAAGCCACAGTGTAAAAGTTGAGTGTCCTGTGTGTTAAACTACAGGCTGATACACAAGATATTCTCAGTGATGAAACATATTATTAATACTCATACTAATAACATGCATACTGAATCATGTTATTATTGTGTAGCAATGAAGCTCTTTTTCCAAGTGGTGCTGATGTTTACATTTTAAATTAAAATTAATTTTTGAGTTAAGTACAAGACTCTGGGACAAAGTGTACTGAAAATACTCTTTAGCATAAATTTTTCTTTAAACTATATTTTCAGATAGTGAAATATTGTTAAATCCATGACTGTACTGTAAAAATCATCATAGGCATATTTTCCACCCTACAATAAATCCAGATTCCTACTTTGAAATGCCAGAACAGAAACACTTTGTTCTAATTTAACGGTGACTGCTTTATGAAAGACTGGCTGATGAGTGAGAAGAAACGGTGAGGGTCCAACTCAGCCCAGAAGGGCTGCTCAACTCTGGGGAAAAAATCTACTATTCAAATTAAAGTTTAAAATTATGATTCTTTCATATGATTACTGGCCGAGTTTGGCAACACAACATGTGTTCCACTTAAAGAACAAAATAACAAGCATAATCTGAAAAAAATGTTAATTTCAGGAGATTTTTTCTAATTGTTTAGCTCGACAAAGAAATTATCTCACAAATTAGTGTAACTGCACATCCCCTAGTTTCCAAGGAAACAGGTTATCAAAGACATCCGCCAGAAATGACTAACCAGCCCCTCAAATTGTAACTAACCCTTCAAACCTTTTTTTGCTGCTTTTTTATATATTTAGATTTTAAATCTCCTCATTGAGAGCAAAGCGGAAGCACAAACCTGGCAAATAAAGCCGATTCTCAAACAGTAATGAACCAGTCACAGTAACTAACCTAACCCATCCGTGAGACAGTAATCAATTCATAATAACGCAACTAACCCATCGTCAAACGGTAACTAACCCGTCACACAGTAACTAGCTAATCGGAGTAAATAGAGTTAGCCTGCTAGCCGCTAGCAGTTAGCTACCATCGGACCAGTAACTTCTATAATTTCTCGGCCTTCTCTCGACTCAGTTCCGCGGCCAGGACCGAGTTAGGGGATCGACTACACGGCTGTCGATAGATGTACTGTCAGGCGTTCGGGTCAACGGCGGAACAACGCGGAGAAATGCCGCTAACACGATGCTCCGCCCGGCTAGCTCAGCGTTAGCCTCCCCGGTGAACTGACAGCTCGGCCCGGACCTAGACGTGTCAGTCCGCGCCGTAACCAGACTTACTATTCTGGATTCATGGTTGCCTGCTGGTTGTGAGGTGTGCTGGCTGTGGAAGCAGCTGGACGTCGTTTCGGGAGGATTTTTAACTGGGCCTGTCGTCACTTTGAGACGTGTTTCTTCGTAAAGTAGCTGTCAGAACACTGCAACCGAATCAAATATGGCCGTCTGTATGGTCTGAAAACCAACAACCCGGAAAAACCGGACTAAAGGAATCATGGGTACTGTAGTTTTAGGGCAATGGGCATCTGTTCGGGGTACATAGACGGTTTATCTAAAAGAACACAGATTATAAAAGGCGTGTCAACAGGTGTGGTACCAAAAATGATCAGCGCAACGGTTGCTGGTTAAAATTCGGCACTAAAAAACCCGAATTGGTCTGTAAAGGACTTTAGTAGGGGTTTTGCTCCCTTTAACTTAGAAAACACATTTAGGGTAAGGAAAAACTGGGATAAATAATCAGGGTAGAGGTTGGGGTTAGGCTTGGTTCTTTATGAATTCATAAAGAAACAAACGTAAGGTAAAAAAATGTCGTAGATCATCACTTTGTGGCACATCTCCAGAACCAGAACCCGAATGGGTCCACTTGCCACAGTCAGTCTTCTGCTTCTAATTTCATTGCAGGCATGTTAAAGAAGAAATTCCAACACATTTAAATAATTTAAAATATATACATATTTCTAGATTTTACTACATGTTCAGTGTATTTATGACTCATAATAACTCTCCTTCATGTTAATCTCTAGATTTAATTGAATAAAACAATTTAAGAACAAATGAGAGTTTTATACAGGTTGTGTTGTAGATGATCTAGATAATGAAATATTTCTTGTCTCAGCTTCAGTGATTCAGTTCTCTGCTGAGAGCGACTCTGAGAAGGAGACGACAGAGAGGCGTGCTTGACCACATTGCTATGTGTGGTTGACCCTGTTGCTAGGTGTGATGCTGTCTTCTTGTAATTGGTTGTTGCAAAAGACAAAAAATACAAATAAATAGGAAAAATGTGCTCCTAGTAATCAGTGGAGAGAAATGTAATGATCAGAAATGTTTAAATCATGATGATAGAACTTACCAAAATGAAATTAATTGTCACACAGCATTAACATATTTGGACATAGCTTATTTACATGCTCATCATTATTCTGATTTGCTTATTATTATGTTTCTCACCATGCTGTTTATTTTCATGCTGCACCAGTTTCATATTAATATGGACACTCACCTATCAGCATTTTACTGTGATCCCCTTTTTGTTTAATGAGGTTTAGTTTGGTAAAATGACCAGAACAAACAGACATTCCCAGCAGATCAATGCATCGTTCCCTCTGCTTTCAGCACCAGCCTGGAATGTGAGCAGCTCTGGTATCTTCTCACATTCCTGGCTGGTGCTGAGGCGAGGTACACCCTGTACAGGTTAGGGCAACACTGAGACACACAACCATGCACACCTAAGGGCAATTTTAGAGAGTCCAGTCATGTTTTTGGACTGTGGGAGGAAGCCAGAGTACCTGGAGAGAACCCACGCATGCATGAGGAGAACATGCAAAGTCCATGCATAAAGACTCCCAGCTGGGAGTCGAACCCAGGACCTTCTTGCTCAAGGTAATAGCGCTACCAACTGCACCACTGTGCAGCCCTGTTTTACAGTCTATAAAAATATTTAAATAATTCGTACTGGTACTCGTCGTCTTCCGCTTATCCAGAACCGGGTCGCGGGGGCAGCAGACTCAGCAGAGACGCCCAGACGTCCCTCTCCCCAGACACCTCCTCCAGCTCCTCCGGGAGGAGCCCAAGGCGTTCCCAGGCCAGCCGAGAGACATAGTCCCTCCAGCGTGTCCTGGGCCTCCTCCCGGTGGGACGTGTCTGGAACACCTCCCGAGGAAGGCGTCCAGGAGGCATCCGGTATAGATGCCCGAGCCACCTCAACTGGCTCCTCTCGATGTGGAGGAGC